ACGAAACAGTTTGTCACAGCCCCTCGTTTGCTGTCCTGTTTGCCCTCTCTCCCTACGGGGATGTGTCATTTGCTTTGTTGAGACATAGGCCTCCTAATGAGTCCGTGGAGAGAGAGACAGAGAGAGAGAGGTCAGCCTCGTAATGAGTCAGTGAAACTCCGACGAAACAGTTTGTGAAAGCCCCTCGATTGTTGTCCTCTTCTCCATCTCTGCGTACTGTTTACCAGACATATATATATATAATATATATACATGTATATATACTAAGTTCCCAGAGTGGAACTGGACTCGTTTCCCGTTCGGGCGAAAACAAAAAAAATGACAAAAATTGACTGCATATTTTGTAACTTTATTTGTAATTTCTTAGTTCGTAAACAATTTCAATGTCACCCTCAATTTTTGCAGACACGTGTTGCAATGTTTTTTGTTGGCACGTACCTTGACCCTTGCATGGCGGGGCCACCCTTGCAAATAGGGTCACCGGGCGGCCAGCCTGTGGCCTGTATATATCCTCACAAAGAGATCACAGCGCAAAGGTGAAAAAAATAGAAATCCATCCATCTATCCATCAGTATTCATCCATGCATCTATATCCCTCTATCCATCTATAACCATCCATCCACATACATCCTTCCATGTCCATCGATATCCATCCATCTCCATCTATCCATCCATATCTATCCTTCCCTCCATCCATCTCTTTTTTATTATGAGCATGTGTTGTGTGCGACCATACTTTTTCATGTATATGCGTAACATGGTCAACGACTTTGCCTTTATTCTGTCCACCCATGTCTCCCTCAGGGTCTGCGCATGACCGTTGATAGTGACACATCCTGGATTGTCATGTCCAGAAATATGGCGCAAAAATATGGGGACTACAGCACTATATCTCCTAAAGATCATGAGAGCAATGAAAGACAGTGAAGCACAGCACAGACAATGAGGGTGCCCCTAGATGACGGAAAACAGTCCGACACGCGTGTAGACACTTCGATGACGAGAAGAACGGGTTGCAACATTGCGAAGTCTTACCATGCTCGCTCGAGTGACGTGGCCGCAAGCGCAGCGTCAGCATCATATCGAGCATGCGGAGACATGTTCGACGTATCTGGTCCTCCGACAATGTCTGAGGAAAAAAAACAGAACCGCGGAAGTGGCTGCGTGCAGAGAGGGATAATGATGATGACGGATTTGACTTGTTTGATGCATTTCCTAATCGGGGGGCTGGCATGATATCGCCTGCCATTAGTAGTGGCGAGGGGTTATCTCGTAACACTTCTCCTGGGAGCAGTGCAGGGCCAGGTCGAGCAKGGAAACCACGTTGCATCGAGGTCGTTAGACCAAAATCCGCTCGTGCGCGTTTACCGGGTCACGAATGTTTTGAATGTAAAAAGTTCTATGATGCTGTTTTTCCAGACACACTCTCCCTTCGTGAAAGACATGAACATGTGAACGAGTGCTCTCGACACAAGATCAACCATCGACGACCACGAACGCCTCCGGGATATTGGGAATTCAGGTTCCCGGATTCCGACCCGGATTGGTGATGTTGTTGTTGGCCTAGATATCCATTGCATGTCTCTCTTTTTCTCTCTCTCTCTCTCTCTCTCTCTCTCTCTCTCTCTCTCTCTCTCTCTCTCTCTCTCTCTCCGTCGTTGCGGATTATGTTCCGCATTACCGGATTGCTGATATTGGGCCATGCGGGGCATTAACCAAGGTATGCGTGATGTTGCACTAATGACTAGTAATGAGTACCGCTGATGTGCTCGCAATTGTATCGTGACATAGGTCCATAGAGGTTTGTCGGACCAAACCACAAGCTGAAATGACAAAACACGTTCACGAGGGAGGACTTGTCCCCGACGTGTGGCCTAGAGGAATGTCGTCACCAGCCACATCGGAGGAGTCGACGGCTATTGCCTTGTTCCAACACCTATACTGTGACATTTGTCTTCGCACATCGCGTCTTGATAGGAGACGGTTTTATGTTGATGATGATGTGGATTTTGACAACGTGCCAGCACCGCCGTTGTCGGAGTCGTTGTCAGTTTCGTCATCGAAAAAGGAGTTATTCGAAAGTTTGACTCCCACGTCACAACCTCCACCAATTGCATCGCAAGGCGCCGCGGCAGAAGGCTCGAGGGAGGAAGTCAATCCACATTTCCGTCGAAATATGGTTAGACGTCGTTTATGGTCATCGCAAGAAGTCCATGGTCAAAACAACGTTACTGCTTGTTCTTTGGGGAGTGATGGAAGTGGGTCGTCGCATGATGCTTTCACGAACATAAGAGAAAACATTTTTGTCACGGGCTATATTTGGAAGTTCACGGCCGTTGATTTCGGTACCCCCCCATCTCGAGTTCGTCGTGGCAGCGGTAGCGATTCCGATTCGCCGGATGAATCACCCTAGAAGTATCTTATGTTCGCCCAATGTTCGTATGAAAAAACAGTGTTGAAACCTCATTTCCATGATGTAACGTAACGATATTCCACCACATAAGTCGATAGACCAAGTTGTGCATGTCGTCTAAGTTTTCGTTTCCATTGCCCATACCCTTTTCTAAAGGTGTGGTCCTTTTTTCTTTTTTTTTTTCTTTTTTTTTTTGCGCAAAAGGGCATCCACATATTGCATTATCGATTTTTATCAACCAGAATGTGTGTCTGTATGTGTGTGTGTGTATGTGTGTGTGTGTGTGTGCATTTATTCGGGTATCGCACTTTGATAACTATCACATTCAGTACATAACACGACCGGTTTGAGAGTTCAAATGTCGAATGAGTCGAGCTCACAAGAGGGTGGGGATGTCGAAAACAATTCTTAACGACCGCTATCATCACAAGGCTCGAACGAAACAGGGTCGCAAACGTCTTCGTGTTCTTTCTCTGAGTCGTCCTTCATGAGTTTTGTTGAAGATGTCGACGATGCGGATTTCATAGACCACGATGATATTGTTTTGTCGAGGAACGAACGTAGACATTACAAGAGACTGACCTGCTCAAACCCATCTATTTCTTGGTATACGCACTCGACAAGGAGTTCTGATGGCAGGAACGGTTTTATTGATATTCGTCAAGCTGAAGTGGCAGAAAATGTCCATGAACACACTGACACAGGTACACATAGTGAAGAGCAGCATAACAACATTCACGACGACGACAATGATGATTGTGGCGATGATGTAGATGACACTGATCATGGCAGCGAATCCACGTCATTGAAGTCACACAATGCCGGATCAAAGAGCTTATAATTTGAATAACGTAAACCGCATACTTAATGGCTGCCTGTATCTTTTAATGAAGTGCATCTGCCGCAGCAACGTGGGAAGAGAGAGAGAGAGAGGGATAGAGAGCAAGAGAGAGAGAGAAGTTCATGTTGATGTTTGCAATAAATTTTTCTCCCATTTCCAATTTTTGTAATGCTATAAAGCACCATGTACTCACAATGTTCTATATAGAATGTGGCACTCTGGTTTCCTATGTTTGTGGTTGTCTGCTTTTCCCACCATTGACGTGTTGCTGGCACTCGCATGCACTGCCGTCTTACATAATTGTGAGGGCGAAGCCTTACGACTTCAGGGAACAATTTGAAGGAATGGATGACATGCGGGTGAATCATGGTGGGCAAAGAGGGCGAGGGAGGGCGAACGGCGGTGTGGGTCGACAGCGTGTAATGGGCCGAGATTTGCGGCGCGTGGAACCGAGATTGACGACGGAGGAAATACGTGCGAGGTGGCCTATTGCCGCGAAAAAAGTCGAAAAGGTAGTGGAGTTCGTTGGTCAAGAGGGACGCATTGATGAATTATTGCAGATCCTTATTGGGAATGAACGATATGACGCAAAAGCCAATTGACATCATGGGTACCGCCGGTTTGCGAACCTATGTGGCTACACTTATCGTCAAAAATTGCCCGATGAGTTTGAGAAAGCCATGCGTATGCGATGACAGAATCCGCCGAACGTTCCCAATGTCCACTTCATAGCTAATCCACATGCTCCCACTAATAGTCACGACCCACGACCAGGTTGACATACGGTGGTTTATGTTTCCGGGATGGTCACATGGAGATGGAGAGAGAGAGAGAGAGAGAGAGAGAGAGAGAGAGAGAGAGAGAGAGAGAGAGAGTCCTACAATGGTATCTATTGTGAACGATATGGTTCGAGACCTCGTCACCTCATTTGTGGTTCGAGGTGTGAAAATRGTGCAAAACTGTCGTGTGGTGTCACATCCARGAACACCTCATTCATATGAGTAGTTAGAATGTYTTAGTTTCGTGCTTTCTCTAATCTACACTTAGTGTGAACTCTTGCATGTCCTCTCTACCTACCTACGTTGGATGCTTGACGATTTTGARTGGTTAGGTTGCAGTTTTATCACCTTCAYGTCGATTACTCTAGTTGGGAATTCATGAATGTACTTCGGTTCCAGGCACAAAACGTGTAATCTCTGTAGAACAATCCCTCGTAAGGGTGCAGGTTCAAATCTCGGCATGCTCGATGAAGGGGCAAAACGCATAGTCAGGTGTGGGGTCTTGGATCGAATCTTAGCACGCAAATACTTTCACACCCACACACTCTCACACATATACAGCGTAGGGACACACAAACACACACAGACACACACACACACACACACACACACACACACACACACACACACACACACACACACACACACTCTCACACATATACAGCGTAGGGACACACACACACACACACACAACCGGAGAGGAGATGTGCACAGCGGAAGCTCAAAATACACAGAGAATATAAAAAGGAATTTCACTTCTCCAATCCCCCGTCCTCCTCCAATCAATTTGGCGTGCTTTTTCGAAGAATTACAACCGCTTTTACGACAACCCCGAACAACAAAAACAAGTGTTCAACGAACACTTGTTTGGAGTCTTCTTCTTCCTTCTCACCACCTCACACCCTTGCCATGGCTGCCGTAGCAGCAGTAACCCCACAGCTGTCACAACGTGCCAATCTGAACCAGCAACCCAGTCAAAAACGCGACGCAAAAAACCCCAAACTAGTTTCCTGCCCGCTTCTTCTACTCTCGGACTAGACCTATGAGAGCAACCTACGACTCCCTGTACCTTCCCAGGAAACGGGAAAAGGGGACCCGGACCTATGACAAAATGGACAAAATTAGCATACAGTCTAGACACAAACGACCACACACACATACACACATGTGCACACACACACACACACACACACACACACACACACAGACACACATGCACATACACACACACACACACATACACACACACACACACACACACACACACGTGCACACACACATACACACACACACACACACACACACGTGCGCATACACGCACACAAATGTGCGCACGTCTTGCGAAATGAAAAAAATGCGCCATGAATTGTCGAATAAAAGATGACACAGGATAACCTATCCATCGAAAGTCGTACGTGCAACCCTAAGGTCACATCCTCGCAACAAAAACGTTTTGTGAGGGGTTGCCGTTGTCGGCCCCTGTTGCATTGTGTCCAGCGTCGATGTCCACATCAACAGGGTCGTATTCGAAGTCGAGACGCGTGGGCAGTATATTCGCATCACCATCACTCGAAACGTCTTCACTGTCGAAATTGATACTTGACAAATCGCAGCCCGATGGAGCGATAGCACAAGTTGCGGCATCATCGTCAGTCGTAGATCCGACACCATCATCCGTATCCATAATGTTCGGAATGATATCATCAACGTCCTCTTGCTGCAACATGCGCCTCGCCCAATAACCCACCCGAGGAGTGCCCCAAACAACACGTGCTATTTCAAAACGCCATGTGTGGTCATGTGCTTGCAACTGCCAATGTGGCGAGGATCTTCTACGGTGACCGACGCTAGAGTCCTTGCGATAGACAAATCCAAGTGCTTCCAGAGCTTTGTTCTTGTTCCAATCTAGAGTTGCACAATCCACCCTTGCCTCGTACGACTTCGGGAAATTCAAACGCTTCGAGCAAAACTTGTTGATTATCGAGTGGAAGCACTCGTTGTTATGAGTACATCGCGCACGCGTGTAGAAAGACATTTTTGTTGCAGAGGCGAATTCCCGCAAGCAATCCATGATAGCAACATGAAGTCTGCCTCCTTTCTCTTAGAGCGGAGGCCGCTCTTTTCCGTCAGCGGCCTTGCATAGCCTCGAAAGCTCGTCGTTGAACATCGCGTGGTCGCCCGCCCAATGGTTGCCTAGATGCTGCACATGGATTGCGAGTACCTCGTCGTCGTCATCGCCTTCCGAGGCAAGTAACTTGCACGCACCATAAAACCACTCCTTCACTTCCTCGCCACACTGTGGATGAAGAGACTCTAACGCATCAGCCTCCACCACATCAATTTCCAAAGGTTTCCCTTGTTGCGCTGGAAATAGCGTCCACCAAACCCATTCAACAATTGTATCTTTCTTGGTGTTCACGGGGATTGGTTGTTGAAGACCCTTCTCACGGAGCTCCTTCTTCGTAAACATTCGAATCTCACGCACGTGCTCACAGTCGTCCACGTTCTTTGGTTTCACAAGCTTCGTGCGTCGTACCGCCTTCCTCAACCATTTCAACTGACTCTTTGCTTTGGGCCACAAGCACTTCTGAGAGTCAATATCCAATGTGCGAAGCAAGACGTCCACAACTGTGCAATCGTCATGCATGACCTCCGCAATCACGAGATTTTTCTCGTTCACCAAACGACTGAACAACATATCAACACACCTCTTTTCCAGATGCCAGGACGAATCCTTGCCTTTCCTAAGGGTTTGCGTTCCAACAATTTGTCGTGATTGGAGCTCCATCGCAGTCACTGTGCAATGTTGCGCGTCTCGAGAGGAGTCGTATCGGCCGTCCAACAACAATACAACCGGCTCGTTGTTGGACTTCAAACGGGATATCACTCTGTTATAGCTTTTCTCTGCCACGCGCCGCACATGCCTTCCCCATTGCCGCGATTCAGGCCCTCTATCTCTAAAAAACCTGTAGAATGTGCCCTCGCTCACATGACGAATCCCCAAACCGCGCGCCAGGTTGTCAAGCTGTGTGCATGACATTCTGCAACTAACTGCGGAATGAAACATTTGGGTCTCGACACGGGAACTCTTCACACCCCCTTCGCCGACCTTAGTAGAATTCCAATGCCACGTGCAGCCCTTGTTGCATCGGAAGTGGATGGTGCAAATATGACAAGGGTACTTCACCTTTGTAATTTCTACGTCAACTTCTCGACCATGCACGGGACAGGACTTATCGAACATCCCAAGAATTTAAAGGAGTTTCACGAACTCCAAGAAAACAACGTCTGGACGTGCTCTAGCGTCCCAGAACGCCATGTGGTGCTTCGCGGTCAATCTATGTAACATCGGTCCATGGTCTTGGAAATCGGGCTTCCCATCGCGCCATTTCAAAGCCCCTCCATGAGGTCTCCCAACTGGTTTCCGCCCTGAAGCGGTCGTCCTCGATGCCCCCCTGCCCCTCTTCGCAGACGACTGTCCAGACCCTCTCGCCAAAGACAAGTGGTCCGCAATGCCATCCCGACCCCACTCGAACAGCAGATCAATCGCCATCTCAAACGTGCAACCGTTAGCGATCTTGTTCACAATAGTCTGCAGTTTTTCCTTCTGGTCCTTCCGTACTCTAATCCGTGGTGGCTCCCTTGACGGAGTAGTGGATCGACTACGCCGTCCGGACGGTGTCGGCATCACCTCAGGACTTTCACAAACCACCGGGTTCATTTGCACAGTGTCCATACCACAGGTAACGTCTGGACCAATTGGATATGTTGTGCAAACCGGAGAAGATACCGCAGGGTGATTCATTGTAGGTGCTCGCCTCTCTGGCCTTGCGTATGTGCCCGGGCCACACGAAGTCACATGTGCTCCGCCGTGCGGGGATTGTGTAAAACCGCTCCCGTGCAGCACAGCAGGAGGAATAGGGGCAACAAGATAGAAGTACGTTTCATTGCATGACGTTCGTGAAGGCACGTACGAAGGCATGCGTGTAGCCAGCGGAGGCAGACAACCGGCAAGCCGTCCTAATGCATTGTTGAACAGGGCGAAGATGGCAAGCATCGGGGTTTGCAATAATGCGCATGTGGTGGGTGGCGCAAACCATATCGGAGGCACCATCGAAGAGGCGAAAGTTGCCATCTCACTGTGGAAAGGCACTGGTGAAACAACTGTTGCCACGGCTGGTAGTGGTTATGGGATAGACGTTAGACGCTCGTCTAACTGCTGCCTTGTGAACGGTCGTGCAAGTACGGCGTCACCCCGTGTGCGGCCTCTCAGACCCAAAATCCCATGACGATGATCCGGAAACAAATCATTCAATGAAGAACACAGCCTCGCCGTCGTCGGGGTCGACATGGCCGATGAGTACATCGTCGGCGTGCGAAGCAGAGGGGAAACCGGTGCCGTTCCCGCTCCAGCTGGACTGCTTGCGTTTGGCATTTCATCCGACGTCATTTCGCGTGAACTCCTGYAAGATGACTACGGAGATGGACGACAAACAACATATACAACAGAATGGATAGCAATAAAAACATATTGAATCGCTTACACAATGAGACTGAATCATTCGATCATTTCGTCGTCTGTGGTACCTGGCTCTCGTGACTGATTGATAGCTTGTGCAATGTGTCTATGATGGAGAGATATTGAGATAGAAAAGGAGAGAGAGAGAGAGTTTGTCAATCAAGAGAGAGAGAGAGAGAGAGAGAGAGAGTCTAGACAGGGTGTGTGTGTTAGATGTAAGTGTCTATGTCAGTCTGTCGTTTATTTAGAAAAGGTGCCCAAGGATGCCGATAGGATAATATGGCAAAATAATAAACACCACATACCAGAGATTGCAGATACCTGTGATCAGTGTTAGTAGTGCAAGGAACATGAAAGTGGACGAAGCACAAGAATCCAAATTGCAAATCACGCCGAAGTCCAAGTAGTCAAACCAAGAGCAGATAGCACATTGGAACCACGAAACCATCCATTTGAGAACGATACAGCAGAATCGCGAGTCAATGTCCAAGCCCAATCGGGCAACGCCAACAACAAAACCCAATGTAGCTCTCCCTCACGAATGGCGTCAGGCGGCCTACGTACTCTACAGCCTATCCTACAACTACAAGCATGGAAGGAAGCAGACGACTTGACGACCAGCGAATGATGACGTCAACACCAATGCCAACCTCCTCTCCACCAGGTATGTCTCTCTTCTCCCTCCCTACTCCTCATCCCACAGCGCCCTTCACCTYCGAAGAACCATCTTYGCCCTYACCCCTTCAGCGCCCTCCTGCAGCCCGGCTATGGCTGCYAGCGCCCTGCGCCCAGGCTRCGCCCTACCGCTTAGCGCCAGCCTGGCTTCTCCAAGCGTTGCTCTGCTCTGCACGTGCGTCAGCGCAGCAGCGTGCCGGTATTGCGTGCAAGCGCAAACATGTCTGCCCACTTGCCTGCTCTGCTTATATGCCAGCTTCGCGCGTGACCGGACTCCCTCGAGCGTGTGCCTGGGCCCCAGTATCTGCGCCCATGCCCAATGCAGATAAGGGCCCAGCAGTACAGTTGTGCCCCGCCCGTCAGGGCCTTTGTCCAAATTCAGATTGTGGACCGGCTTCCCATTGGCATTTGCGGCCTCTACGTCCAGCATGCAATGTCGGCACGACATTTAGGCGCCAGGCGTCTAACCAACTCAGGGGCCTAACCAACTCAGGGGCCCTGGGCCTTTCTGCGTTCGCAGAGATCTGGCACACTCTGCACTCCAACCAACCGGCGTGCGGCAACTGTCTAGAGGCCACTTCATGAAATTCAGAATGAAAGGCCTCTTGTGGATATTCTGGCCCGCCTTCACTTAGGGCGGGCACGAGGCTTGCTGGGGGGCCTTAGCCCAGAACATGTGCATGACGGCAAGGCCCCCTTTGAGGGCTCAATCCTCACATTCGGGTGTTCGGTGAAAAAATATATATATAAAGAAAATGGTGGACAATTGTCACGCCCCCCATGGTTGAGGGCTCACTCAGACTCCCAAATGTGCATTTTTCTTAGCTTTGGAAGGGAATGCGTTCAAATGCATAGACGTCCGAGAGAGGTCACGGAAGGTGAGTCGTTGTCGACCCATCTCTGTGAGAGGATACTCTCTCTGGGATCTCTCTCTCTCTCTCTCTCTCTCTCTCTCTCTGAGCATCTCTGTGTACTGGTTTGGAGTGTTGCTGTACCTCTGCACTTGCTGTGCAGTTCAGTGGCATACAGAAGAGCACAAGCAGCAAGGCCATGGCACAAGGCAGAAACGGAATGCAAGGCAAGCAAGCGTGAAGGGCGCAAAGCAGCAGGATAGCACTGACAGCGCACTCACACGTACAGCAATCCGTGTGCCACTGGCTTGCCTTGCCGGTGGCATTAGGGATCATGCAAACAGGACCAATCCCTGTGCCTCCCATCAGGTCCCCTCCCGTACTAACACCAGCAGACTCTCGCTGCTCTCTCTCTCTCTCTCTCTCTCTCTCTCTCTCTCTCTCTCTCTCACACACACACACACACACACACGCACACACACACAAAAAAAAAAAAAAAAAAAAAAAAAAAGGTGTCTTAGCTAGGCTACCAGCCAAGGACAAGAGAAGCTCCCAGCAAAAAACAAAACGAAAAAAAAACAAAAATCCGAAAAAACCATGTTGTGCAGAAAAATAAACTGAACAACTTTTGCCTCAGGGTCACATTGAAATTCTTCACCAAATTTAGAAAAAAAGATAAATGTTCTGTTTGTGACGATAGATTATATATATATTTTTGGACCGGCCTGCCAAGTGACCCCGGGCCACTCTGGTAGCCTAGTGTCGCAGTGTATATTTCCATGTTATACCGGTAGATTCATTCGATTTTGCTCATCCTATCCATGGAAGTACCAGTAGTCCACCCGCGAGGTTGAAGACTTACTCTCTCTCTCTCTCTCTCTCTATCTATGTCTCTCTCTCTCTCTCTCTCACACACACACACACACACACACTCACAGACTGGTGCATGCCCCCGGACAGAACACACCCCGATTACGAATGTATACAGGCTATGTTTTTGGTCTTCTGTGTCGGTGTAATGTGAAGACCCCACCCAGCGCCGCCTGTTTCCCCTCCCCCTTCTCTCTCTCTCTCTCTCTCTCTCTCTCTCTCTCTCTCTCTCTCTCTCTCACCCACCCATCGCAAACGAGAATGGAAAAAAAAAAAAAAAAAAAAAAAAAAAGGTGTATTAGCTAGGCTACCAGCCAAGTACAAGAGAAGGTCCCAGCAAAAAAACAAACCAAAAAAAAAAAAAATTCCGAAAAAACCATGTTGTGCAGAAAAATAAACTGAACAACTTTTGCCTCAGGGTCACATCGAAATTCTTCACCAAATTTAGTATAAAAAATTAATGTTCAATATATATATTATATATCGTCACAAATATATATATATATATGTTTTTGGCCCGGCCTGCCAAGTGACCCCGGGCCACTCTGGTAGCCTAGTGTCGCAGTGTATATATATATCGTCACATGAATATCAGAGCCCAAAGGCAAAAAAAAAAAAAAAAAAAAAAAAAAAAGGATACATCGTTTTTTTCTTCTTTCTTACAGAACCTATATATATCGTCACAAACAGAACTGCCCGGTAAACCGTAGGCAGAGAGACAACCTATGCCCTTCCATGTTCGTTTGTCCCCCAGCTGTGCAACAGGATATGGTCCCTGCCCAGAGTACACTCCCAACGACAGTCCCTACTCACGATGTGGCCCCGAACGCTGAGGGCCTGGGACATGATCAGCTCGGACTGCATTTAACCCCGCAAGGCATAGACCACACGGGAGATTTGCAAATGGCTGACCAGGATCATATGGATGA